TTACAACCACGCGCGACACACTTCCAATGCAGAAATGTTCATTCATCAAGCTGTTTTTTCCATACAAGCAGGTAATTTTTTTGGTGGTTATTTTGGTATTATTGGCATTTCATTTCTTTTGAGAATATTTTTCTCTTCAAGTATGTTTTAAAATAAGTTTTCTATTGAATTCGTGATCAAATCACCATTTAAGGGCAGTTGTTTGACGTGTAGTATGTAAAAAAAAAAAAAAAAAAAAAAAAATTAAATTAAAAAAAAAAAAAAATTATTAAAAAACATATTTTATGAAGAAAAAACGTAGTACCGTAATTTGGAGGAAAAAACTGAGTAATTCCGGCAAAAACAGAATGGTTGGCAGCTCTGTACGTCACAGAGTTGCCAACTTGTGTTTCACTGATGACAACTTTACAAATTCATAACTTTCCATTTTTAATCAGATATTGGTTAAAATTTCAATTGTTTATTTCTCATTTTCTGACTTCATTCTAACCAACCTAATATCCGGGTTGACTTCCCTTTACTGAGAAATAATTTTCGAAGGATACAAAAATGTGGTCTTTACAGAAAGGTGGTCTTTCTATTATACATGTGTACATTTGTAGGTGGTCATTGAAGTAGTTTTGACTGTAGTACAAAAAATTGGTGGAGAGAAATGGAAATGTAACCTGGTGGAACATTCATCATCAACCTTCACAATGCAACTGGCACAGTTTACACATCCAACGGAGCGATGGACAAAAAGAGAAAGAACATCAGCCGCTCCAGCTCATCAATCAAGGGAGACAGAGGCTGGAGAACTGAGGGGGAGTGTGCACCACAATAAAAGAGTGTGCACCGCAATAATAGAAACATGGGGAAATGGAGAGCTGAACAGATATTGAGATCATCATCCATTTGAATGATTGTGAACAAGGTCAAGGTCGCGCATCGTTGATTACTCAATCAGTCGCAGAGCGTTTTTTGTACGTACAATTTATAGTGTACGTCAAAGAATAGGGGCTTGTTCAGATACTACTGCGCTTTTTTTTCTGTGTACGTACATGAATGGCAAATAGGGAAGATTAAGGTAGCTGCGTACTATTAACTTATCTCTCTCTTACTCTATATGACACGAAATGTGAAGGGCGTTCTTTTCAAAGACCCACATTAAGGCGCGATAGCTCAGTTGGTAGAGCAGCGGTCTTGTAATCTGGTGACCCAGGTTCAAAACCAAGGCGATGGGCTAGTGCCCTTTGGTATTAAAGTAGATATTCATTGATTTTAAAAACTAACTTTATTTTCATTATTGCAAAGTTGAAACTTTGATTCGACAAGGTTATCAAAATTCAATGCTTGGAAACATTTGAAGTAATGATTATTATAAATTACAAAACGCTTAAATACAGCCCCGGCATAGCACCTGAAGAGCTCTCCGAACGCTGCTGAGATGTGTGAGATCACAGTATGGACATGACTTGCACAAGCAGACGATGCCCCATGACATCTCACACATTTTCAGTGGCTGTGTTTTCATCTTTTCTTGAGTTCTTTCTCTTACTTCACTACCGTCAGGCTAAATGTATAATCTATTGCCTCACTCTAAACCCCGCGCATGGTTTTATTTTGATGACAAATGCAGCGATACAAAAATAAAGGAATCTGTCACTTGTAAACAAAATAAGACGCCATTGTATATTCAGCTGCACACACCGGGGTATGTTCGGCGTTTCAAGAAGGAACAAATGCCATTCTTAATATCATTCCGGGGGTTTTTCAATTTGAAAGTCTGGTTTCTTTGATTGTAAATTAACCCCTATCCTGTGTATTTACAAGCAAAAGATTTTAGTTATCAGAATCGAGTCATATCCCCTTTTGAATGGTTTGACATGCCATTACATTTATATACACTAAACTCATTATAATTTGACAAATAATAGCTTTGCAATTATGTTCATTCTCTATGGGATGTCGTCTGCTTGGGCAGTGTTGGTCCATATAGTGACGTCATTAAAACATCGTTACTTTTCCGGCGAATCTCTCGTATATCCCAGCTGCTAAGGAGGTGGTTGTATTTGTATTTTTATAAATCACCCGATATGTAGTTGACCTATAACATGTACGATGGCCATCTGTTAGCTTACCAGTTTCTAGTGATACTTTAGTTGACATATTTGTGATTTTCTTTGAATTTCACCTTTAAGGTATTATTCCTTATTGCCAGATCCCTCAAAGAGGACCTAAAGCCGTTGGTCCCCTAGTTGCTTACTAACGAGCATTGCTTTCTTAGCAGTCAGTGTAAAATAACCACCACTAAAAAAACGGTCATCGCAGAATATGTGAAGAAGCCTTTAATAGGGAATAGATGAATTATGGCTTTGTCATTCATGCGCAAATGAGAGCAAAGGATTCAGGATGTCGGGGATGAAGATATTGTGTGTACAGGGATGAACAGTCAGGGCATGGTCATGTCGTCATGGAAACGGGTTTGTTGTTTCATCCTCTTCATTAATACTCTGCAAGGCGACTTTGAAAGCAGGTTTACAGTGAAAATCATTGTATTGTCATCGTAAGCTTGAAAGCTTTCCCTACGTGTATAATTGTAGACATTATACATGAACATGTACATACCTGTATGTACATGTAATGTACATGTACAAGTCAGCAACTTCGGGAAATGAACAATTTACAGCGGAAAAGAACATCTACATGTACATTTTTACAACACATACATACAGTATGTACATGTACCTGTATGACAAGTAGAAAGATAAAGTATAAACATTCCCTTGTTAAAGGGATCCGGTAACTTTGTCTTAGATCCTTTAGAAATAATCCTTGATTTAGCTCATGCTGCAATGATAATTATAAACCTTTAGGTCAGTCAGGATCTCCATGACTTTTACAAGCCGATCGCCTGTCTGATTATCAAGATATTAATGATTGGAATTACAAATTTTGAAAACCGTTCAAACACCACAGTCTATTGGGGAAAATGAGTATGGTAAAACCGGTCACTCAAAGATTTTTACGTTTTTGAGGCACTTCTTGATCATTTTGAAGCGCGATTTTTTTTAGGGCTTCAATATTACACCATATCGTAGACACTGGTAACATGTAGGACCGTGTACAGTATCTCAGATTTAACATTGTTAAACGATCCCTTAAAAGACATCTTCATCCCTTTTTTATATCGTTGATGCTTATTTGCAAGAAAAGCTTGAAGGAATATGCAATGTATCTATATACAAGTACTCAGAACAACAGAATGTTCATAACATCATACTGGATACTCTACGAACCTGCAGATACGTTTAAATATTATATATCCCATCAAATATTGGATGCTTTCTTGTTAATATTTTTGTATGATTTTCAGTGAACACAAAGTCACATCATTTTATTTCTTCTTCTTTCCTTTTAAACTGTGACTTGATGATTCGAAATGTATATACATGTACCTGAACTTATAGTGGAAAGAATAAACCAAAATCAAGAAGCAATCTATTGATCGTCAACCATAACGATTATTATTCCAGTCATCACCAGCAGTCTCTCAAAGGACTAACATCATTTGATGCAATCTAGCAAATTATGTACTCTTCTACCCCATCGAATTGACAATACCGAAGACATGAGTGCGTGAAAGAGGTAATGTGTAAGAAGATCATTATCGTCATGTAAATGTCATCATTTGCCCCGGGGAGATGCTCGAACGAGCAATTATCGTCTCCATAAACGGCAGCGTCGCAGCGTCGGGGCTGCAGAAGGGCTTGTATACATACACACGGACAAGGATTTTTCCATCTGGGATAGTGTATAATGGAGTCTGGTTTTTTGAGAATGGCCTACAAGCCCTGCAGTGCCTGCGCTCGCTCGGTTCACTAGACATGAAAAGTATGGATTCAACAACATGTATGTGACTATTTCTGTACAAGAACATGATAACAATGCCCAGATAGAAGGGATATTGTTGGCAATTTGAGCTGTTTTTGTACAAAATTTCTTTGAATGAAGGCACTCACTCTTTATCAAGCTGAACATCTATCATCTTAAATGGTACTTGCAGGCAACAAAATGAGTACAACGAAAGAAGAAAAAAAGGGGGAGGTTTTTTTGTGAACACTTTTGAATATAAATTGTCTAGCCGGCAATAAATTTTCCTTCGTACTTGTACACGTGCATTCCCTTTTGTGGTAATTTTAATGTACATTGTACAAGAAAAATATAATTCCTCAGAAAAAACAGCCTCAATGTGCAATTCTTGGAACAGCGACCCAGCATTTCTTTTGGCGACATTTGCTCTTGGCCTAACACGTTGGAAGTTCTAGGATGAGGGTTTGGATTGCATTTTACATTTATGATACAGGGTAGGTTTAGGAAAGGGTTAAATGTACATGTACATCCATCTGGTGTTTGGTACAGGGTTAAAAGTTTACATGTAAGAGGTTAGTGTATAAGGTATTGACCGTGGAACAGTTGTAATGGATCATGTGCTTTACAACCTAAGCTTAAAGCCCCACTGTACTACTTGTAGCTACTTGCTCCCTCTATATAGAAAACAATGCCTAAGTGGTGCCTGTTGGTCCCCAATGGTCCCCCTTTTCTTATGTTAATTGAGAGCTGATTTGATGAGACAACTACCTGTCAGAGACCTTGCAGGGAGGTCTAATTCCTCCTGGCCAAACTAGTGCAGATAGATTTTAAGATAAGTAGTATTGATACTGATGAGATTACCCTGGATACATATGACCATGTTGTTGTTATTATCATTGTTGTTATTATTATTATTGTTGTTGTAATTATTATTCCCTTACCTCCACCTCACAGATCTCCTCCGAGTTGTCCAAGAACTCGACCATAATAACAAGATGATAATGCTCACAAATTATTTTTCACCTCTCCCCACAACTCAACCTTCTCTTTAAGATGTAGTTATTGATACTGATGAGACTACCCTGGATAAATATGACCATGTTGTTGTTTTTATTGTCATTATTATTATTGTTATCATAGTTCCTTACCTCAACTTCAAAGATCTCCTCCGAGTTGTCCAGGAACTCGACGAGGCAGCGCATCCTTCGCTCTTGCTTCTCCCGGGCCATCTCGCTGGCCCTCACGTTGTACGACCCGCTGTTGGACCTGGCGTGGTGCCGCCCGCTGCTGCCCCCATGGCCGCCGGCAGGGGCCCGGCCATTGTTGCCCAGCCGCCCCTCCACCGTAATGATTTGTGGACGTAGAATCTTGATGGTTGTGTCAGGATCTGAGGTTTAATAAAAGATATGGAAGGGAATTGAGCAATGCATCATTGTCTCCTGTTATAGTCTACAGACCATTTTGAGCTAAAACAAACTGTCCAACATTTCCAAATTACAAATAATCAAAATGTCCACCAAAAAATCTGCACTGTGTGAAACTTTGAGTGTACAATAAGCCCTTTTGCACACAAGAAAAATCTAAGTACCATACTCATTTACACTTGAATTAGTGATTCTCACTAATTAGTCACACTTCTTTTTCACATACATGTATACAAAGTTTTAAGATTATGTTCGGGGCTCACATACTGACTCAGTCATGATTGACTTGTGTGAATGACCCTATTGTACATGTACAGCAGTGTGAATGTTCCAACAGTATTTCCATTACCCTGATAGAAGACGCCTGACCATCCTGCATCATCTTGGAACACACCCAGATACGATTCAAGGGATACTATTTGATGAGGGTCCTGGTCCATCCCATTCACACCAGCATAAAAGGTACCTGCGCAGAGTGATCGACTTTGCTCTATATAAGAGTTCTGAAAAAAAACTATTTTCTTGCAGTAACTGATGTACAGTAGCTGTATAAAGCTCTAAAAAAGCTCTGAAAGAATTGCTACAAGGAAGCTTCACATTTACTAGAGCACTTAGCACTGCGAAGATTCTAAAAGATGTCTGGAATAAAACTATATCCAAGTTGTGTGTGATTGTGTTTTTGAAAGCTCTAAAAAGGGCTCTGGAACAAGAACTGTCACAATGAAACTTCACATTTGCTAGAGCACTGCAGGCAGTAAAGCGATTAGGACTTGAAAATTATTAAAACTCTCTGGAATAAAACTATATCCAAGTTGTGTTGTTTTGGGTTGTGCTCTCAAAAGCTCTAAAAAGGACTCTGGAACAAGAACTGCCACAAGGAAACTTCACATTTACAAGAGCACTGCAGGCAGTAAGCGATTAGTGCTGGAAAATTCTTGAAGATCTCCAGAATAATACTACATGTATGTATATCCCAGTTGTGTGTGATTGTGCTCTCGAAAACTCTAAAAAGGCTCTTAAACAAGAACTGCCTCAAGGAAACTTCACATTCTTCAGAGCACTGCAGGCAGTATTAAAGTGATTTAGCACTGTAAACAAAATTATAAAAGATCTCTGGAATAAAACTATATTCGAGTTGTTTGTGATTGTGCTCTCAAAAGCTCTAAAAGATGGCTATGGAACAAGAACTGCCACATGGAAATCTCACATACAAGAGCACACCCAATACCAGCTCTCAAGAACAGAACATTGGTCTTTAAAAAACCCATTAACACCAAGTCCCAAAAACAAAGGAACAAGACAACGTTTCAAAAGCGACCTACAATAAACCGTCCCTTGTGATATAAACCTGGACTAGAAACGTAGATGGAATTGCAGCAGGATATCCTGATATTGGTAGGGAGTGTCCTCCAACATGCAAGTGATTACCTTCACAGATGTTCTTCTCTATCATCTGCATCAAGACTCCTGTACAGCGTGTCACTCATCCTCCAGGAAAGATGAGACACGAGGCCTGTCCTCATCAGCTCAAGTTGCCAAATATCCCGCTATTTGAACTATCCTGATCGCAAATCATCCAGTTAATTTGCGTCTTCATCAGCCCGAAGTTGCGATTAGTGGGATATTTGGTCGAGATAATCATCCCAAGATATCTTGGGCTACAGTAGTTTGCAAAATATCCAGGTATTTGTCCGGTGCGTCTACATCAGCCTGAAGACTCGCACTATGCGCGAACGCTGAGCAAAATATCTCGAGCCAATTTCTCATCTCAAGTTTCAAGTTTCGAGGTCAAGTCTGAAGACGCGATTTGTAACTTCTGGATTATTTCCCAAATCAGAAATAGCGGGCTATTTGGCAATCTTGAGCTGATGAAAACAGGCCTATGTTTACACCAAGGATGGATACTTCTTCAAAAGGAAATCAGACTGTCGATGTCTCGATGATTCCAGGGTATTTATAAATGTAGTCTTCTAATGATTCATTCCTAGTTTCTCATCCAGATATTTTGGAAGCGAGTAGGGATTCTATCTAATCTAATACCTTGGATTCAATTAAACTTGCTCAAAATTTTGAATATTCAAATTCAAAACCCCCCAAAAATGAAGTTAATAGCAGAGTACCTATTTATTTCATTTGATTCTATTCTACATGTAGATGAAAGTTGTTTTTTTTTTAAATTGAATGTAAACCATGTACAGATACATGTAGATGTAGATGAAAGTTTTGTAGGACATAACTTTGAGTGTAAACATGGTTGTATAGAGAGTGAGAGAAGATCACGTTGCAGATGATACACCACCAAGTGACCTGTGAAAAGTGTTTCATGTGAATGGGCTATGGTTTCACTCTTGCGATGTGCTGGGTCTACACGTGTGTGTTACCGTCTAACTTCTGGTCTTTCTACCCAAGTCCACGACAGGTACAAGACAGGTACATGTATGTATTCAATTAGATCCATTTGCAAGTTAACAATTATTTATTGTAATGTAAACCAGATAATGTACATGTACAGTGCAGCAAAGCTCAATATGAACAGGCACCAAACCAAGGTCACATGAACATCCAAAACTCCAAGTACAGACACCCTCCCAAAATGTAGAATTTTTTAAACATGGGGCTCATACAGACCCTCAAAAATTTAAATCTTGACTCTAACTTTCAAGGGATTTCAACTTTTCAAGCTTTTTTTGAGGAGCTAAATCAGCTCAGAATCGTAGTGACATCAGACTTGTAGGGCGACTGTCTATGATATTAAGCCAATTTGACTTTTATTCTCACTAGAAAAGTTTAATGCACTAAAATCCTGGTTGTTTGTATTCTTTCTTATCATTATTTAGAACCTAAATCAGGAAGATTTATATGGTTGCTTTATACACTTCCACATCCAGTCCACATCTAATGTCATTGTAATTTCTTTGAAAATCGGATTGAAGAAGGATTGTGGACTATGCACCTGGCTGTAGACAGAGACCTTCACTCTGAATATCATCACATTACATACATTGTACATGTATGTATCTTTGCACTTCTCATCATACACCTTCTGTTCACCACGATCCAGAGTTCCATCTAATCAATTCCACCGCTTTCTCCATCCACATGAAGTACATTACAAAGTTAAAACAACCCCCTTCCTCTCCATCCCAGGACTGTAAAAAACGAGGTTAGGTGTGACAGCCAGCGCTGCAGACAATTTATTTCTATTTGTTCAACTGTCGGCACGGAGATCCTTCAGTACACAAGGAGGACTTTCCGTGCAAGGCTCCGGACCGACAGAGTGAGCAGACACAGGAGACTTTAATGTCTCCCCGTGTCCTCTTCCCCCCCTCTTCCTCGCTCCATCCCGTCTCATCTTTCGCTCATGCATTTTCAACGACGACGTCGAGATGGATGGATATTTACCGTCAAGTCACGCGCTCGAGCCCTTTTCCATTTTAAAACTTTTCATCAAATCTGAGAGATACAGTTCTCAAGTTGCACCGTTCCACGAGGATTTTGTTGTCTGGTACTTTACTGAGTGAAGTGGTGCTCTGTTCTCTTTCTCAAATTATTCTTTAATTCAGAGATACATTTATGTTCACCATTCTCAAATTCTTGAGAATTGAATTTCTAATCCCTCCAATGATTTTCAATTGGATTGGAATTGGGTGATGCTGGACTCATGTGTAGCATGTCAGAAAGCATTATCAAATAGTGTCCCTTCCTCCCAAGTTCATTTTGATGGAACATTCTTTGACATGTACATGTACATGTATGGATTCTCTGATTTTTGTATATGATTTTGCTCCACACAAAAAAATAATTCATGACCAAGTTGATAGACATACTGTAGGATTGTTTAGACATGTTTAGATTAGGATTAAAACCACAACTCTACAAGAAAATACAGGTACAGAGGCTAGAGAAAGAGAGAGAGAGCTAGAGCGAGAGAGAGAGGGAGAGAGAGGGAGAGAGAGAGAGAGAGAGAGAAAGAGAGATAGAGGGATAAAGAGTACAGGAACATCATTGACTGATAAAACAACTTCTAATTTTAGGCCCATGAGGCAAAGCAGAGGTACAGTACATGTACACATGTATCTTGCCTGTAACGACAATGGATACACTTGAAAGCATTAAGAAAAGAGCCTTTTATGAGCAATAAACCGCATCACTTCCTGGCCAAGTGCAAACTATTTCAGGATGTTTACATGAACTTGAGCATCAGTTTGTCATTAAAAGCTAGATAACACAAGTATGTAGCCGCTACACTCAAGTACCGACAGTATTATAGGGCAGAATTGTGCAGCAAGCCAGCAACGCTACATTTCACACTGCACTGTGTACTGTAGTATTTGTCTATCATGTACAATGGATCAAGGAGGCATGAGGGGCAGGTTACCCCTTTACAAAATGCAATTTGATGAACCTTGAGAAAAGTGCCCTATCCCTTCAAAATTGTAGACACACACAACTACCGTATGTACATTTGTACATGTATGGCAAGCAAATTTTTTTTTTTTTAAATAAATATTTTACTTCTCAGAGATCCCCCCCCCCCCATTTATAGGATCCTATATATGCCCTTGTGAATGTGTATTATATTAAACCTCTATATGTACATGTACATCTGATGTGGACATGCAAGTGTATTGATCTTTATATAAGTTAGCATTGAGGAGTACTGTACTACATCAACATATAGATTTGTTTTCTTCTTCATGTGTACTCACAGTAAAGCTAGATTTTAACATTTATGTTTTGAACGAAACAGTGGTTTGACTGAAAGGCATGAGCCCTCCTCCCCCCTCCCACCCCCCCCCCTTCTCTCTCTCTCTCTCTCTCCCCACATGGAAATGCCACTAAGTCAACTATACATGTGTATGTATGTACATGTGCATTGTACATTGTAACTATAAAAGGTTGTGTGACTTGTGTCTGTCTGTCGGCCAAGTACGAGATCAATTCAAATGAAATTTTATTTGAG